TGCATGGAGGCCGGGACAACACATTCCGCGAGAAAGAAAGCGACATTGCTGACTACCGCAGACTGGTCACAGTCTGGGAGCGTTGGCGGCGGGAAAATAGCCTCGTGCATTCCCTTGCCCCCTCGCCTTGGTGCTCCCGGCGTTCGCCCACGGCCACCGCTTGGGAGAGGCATCCGCCAACATGACTCACCCCACCGCTTGCGACGCGCGTGTGAACTACTTGGATGGATGTGTGTATGTAGCTTCGCCGCGTGGATTACTGGCGATGGCTGCAGCCCGGCCTTTTCGTGCTGGCCAACATGCATCTGGCAGAGCGAGAGAGAGGGGAGTAGCAAGACAAGGGAACAGGAAGAACGAGGGAGAAAAGTCCGCTCCCCCCCCAGCAACCCTAGACTCTGGAAGTCACCGCCGCCAACCGCGAGGGTTGAGATGCCAGAGAAAGCATTCCAAAGCCCTTGGAATGAACGACCGGTCAGCTGTTCAAATCACATCATGGGATTTCCGAGGGAGCGGAAAAATTCCAGCCCCTTCCGGCACTGGTTCCGCTCGATGTTGAAGATGGCGTTCGTCGAAGACTGGAGCGGAGGCGACCGAGGGACCCGGGGATTGTGGGGATGTAGGGTTAGCGCGCTGGGAGGATCGTATGGTGGCACCTCCCGGCTCGGCACAGGCGGCAACAGCGTCTCTCTCGTCCCCCCCCCCCTCCCCCCTCGGCCCTCCCGTGATGGAAATAGGGCGTCCGGCACATATGACATACAAGCAGAGCCAGATCGCGCGACCGGCCGCGATAGATGACGGGATACTTGAAGGGCGTGGCGCCGGTGCCAGCGCCATCGCCCGTGACATGCTGAAGGAAGGGGGGCACTTTCACCGGATCGAAGGCAAGGGGCCGCTCGAGTCCAGACTGTGAGGGCAGATCATCCACCGAATGGGCCACACTGACGCCACTGAGCGAGTAGCAGGTGTGGTACGCATCCAGGCGACTTTGTGAGGCAGGTATCGCGAGACAGTCAGACCACACGTGCACCAGCGGATGGCGGAAAAAAACCCCGAGAGGGGGGAGGGGCGGGGATGATGAAGGCGACAACAGCGGCGATGGCAACTCGAAGTCCACGCACCTGGAGGGCTTGTCCTTAAACCCACCTCCACTTGCGTCGTAGCACTGAACAAAGAGGTAGTCCAGCAAGGAGGCTATTTCGAAGCAATCCCCGCAGCAGATACGGAGAAGGAGCGAAGTGAAAAGGCACGAGCAAGAGCAGCAGCAGCAGTGTGTGTGTGTGTGTGAGAGAGAGAGGGAGGCGGGAGCACAGGGGCATGGCCAAGTGAAAAATGTGGCGGGAGGCTGGTCACGCACCCCGGTCGAAAAGGATCGGGTCCATGTGTGAGGCCAGGCTGGCGGAGGTCTCGGCAGCCATCACCGACCGCGTGGTCCCGGAAAGGAGGGCCAGCACGGCGCCACACCAGAAGGAATAGCAGCTGTCAACTAGCTTGTTGGTCCGGCCCTGGAAACCCCCCTCGAGAGACATCTGCCGTTGAAGGGCCCAGTACTGAGAGACAAAGGAAAGGGACAGAAAGGAGCAGAGGGGGTCAGAGGAAAAGGCTCCAGGTACAGGATTGTCCGGGAGGAGAGGGAAAAGAAAAGGGCGCACGGTCAGCGCATCGATGTCCAGGGCGCCGATCGCTCCGACGCAGGCCAACGCCGCAACGCCGCAGTACGTGTAGCCGCCATGCGCCTCGAGGCCCGGCCGCCCGGCCAGGCCGCCCTCATACGTCTGGCATTGGGCGATCCAATCGACTGCGCCCTCAAGCAGCTCCGGCGTCAAAATGTTGGTCATCTGTGCCACAGACAGGGCCAGGTAGCTTCCGCTGTGGGGATCGTCAATCCAGTGAGGCAGGCCCGATCGCGTCAGTGGCAGGCCGTATCTCCCCCACACGCAGTCGAGGGCAAAACAACACCTGCCTCCCCAGGGGACCATACCGGACATCGCATTCGCCATCGTGGTGCACGGCGAACGAGCCTTCCGGCGTCTTGAGCGACATCAGCCACCGGTAAAGAGACTCGCTATGAGTCGAGAGGCCAGTTAGCATGGACATCGACAGAGGGGAGGGGGCCGGACACAGGCAGACACGCACCGGTCAATGAGGCGCAGTGGCTCGTCATCTTCGAAAACACCCTCGCGGTTCAAGTTCACCAGGGTGGCCACCGCGGCGTAGGTCGGGGCCAAGTGCGCCAGCAGACCCGGGCCCCCGCCGAACCCGCCATCCGGGTGTTGGCTCAGTCGCAGGAAGTCCATGATGCTGAAGAGGCCAGAGGTGAGTGGCCTGCGACGGGCGGCCGGGCAGGAAGGGCGCCCTTCCGGCTGCGTACCTGCGCGCATCGAAGTTCGTGATGTTGGCCAAGGCACCGGCTTGGGTGCACCAAAATGTAATCCACGCACGGCTGCCATCGAGCGAGGAGAAGGCCGAGCTCATCGGCCGGAACATGGAGTTTCGCAAGAAGGCCTTCATGTTCGACACATCGAACGTGGGCGCCGGGATGGGGGCTCCATCGCCGGAGCCCGCCTCGGCCGAGCTCCCGTGCTGCTGCAGGAAGGCCTGGTAGTTCGACAGAATTTCCTCCTCCACTTTGCGCTATGTGAGGTGGATGGGTGCGAAAGGCCAACGGGGAGAGGCAGGGGCAGGTGGCGTGCGGGGGGTGGTTAAGGGGAAAAAGTCAGTCAGGCGGACATCCAGGGCCGGTGGGGAAGAAGGCCCGGCAAGTGGCTTGTACCTGGGCGTTCAGTGTCGGCGTGGAGGAGAGGTCATCGCAGGGAAGGGCCTTGTTGCGAAGAGCCATGGCGTTCGGAGGGTGGGGGAGCGGGCGGACGAGAAAATATATATGTATATTCCGGCCGGGAGAGAGTGAGAGAGGGGACGGGCGAGCCGGGGGGGGGGAGGCTGGCCAGGCAGGAAAAAGGAGGGAGACAAGGGCCTGAGTCCGGCGAGGAGGGAGGAGGGGAGGGAGGTGCGGTGGCCCGGGACGCCGACCTCCCGGTCGCGGCTGTGGTCACCGATCGGCTGTTCGCAGGGGCCCCGGGTGAGTGATGCTGGCTCAGGAGAACCTGGTTGTCGCGGTCCCGGGCTTCGCCCGGGCGATCTCGCGCCCGATGTACCAATCGTTGGCACCTAGCACCCATCCGCGGGCATGGCGGACCGTTTCTCCCCAGCGATCGCATGCTCCCGGCCCCGGAATACCCTCCGCCTGGATTGAAAGGCCCCCTCCCCCGTTCCCGACCGCCAGCCCGCCGGGAAGCACCCCATCTGCATCTCCGCCTCTCCGCCTGCATGCCTGCCTATTTCCTCCTTTCCTCCTCTCTGTCCGGTTTATCGCTCCCCCCCCCCATCCACTCACCATGGATCCTGCTGTACCTGTCCGGAGTGTCTTCGGCACATCCAATCGGCAGGCCAACTCCACTGTTGCTGGTATGATGCCCCTCCCCCCGCCCCCCGATCCGGGCTCCCAGCCTCTTCCTCCGCTTTTTTTTCCCGCTTTGCTTGTGCATGTCTTCTCACCCTCTCCCTCTTCTTCCCTCGAGTTCAGATGGCGCCTCTGCCTTTCCCCACCTCGAGCCGGCCGGTCCGCCTCTCAAAAAGGCCCGCCCTGCCGCCGCCATGTCCTCTCCCATCGAAGGGTCTCCACACGATGTACGCTGCCCCTCCAGCACCGGTCCCCACTGCCGATTTGTCGCCTCTGACCCGGTGTTGTCGTAGTCCTCCGATACCGTAAAGCGTCTGGCCCTTCTTTCGCAGAAGGCCATCGGGCAGGTGCAATCCCTGGAGCAAACGAAGGCCGAGCTCGAGCAGCGTGCCACCTCCTACAGCCACCAAATCCAAGCTCTGACCGACTTGGCTGTGGAGGCCATCACCGAGCGTAACATCGCTGAGACCATGCTCGCCAGCACTCAGGTAAGCGGTGGTCCCCCCGCTGGGCCCTGAGACAGCCCGGAAAATGCCCCTCCCACCTTCTAACTCCCTCCTCTCCCCGCCTCCCAGACCTCCCTTTCATCTTTGCGCAAGGAAAATTCCGATGTACGGCCCGTGCTCCCCAATCTCGACATCGACCCTCGATTTTCTCGCCCCCCGCCCCCCGCCACCCCACACGCACACACGCACTGACAGTCGTGGAGTCGGCCCAAACGCTCAGCTCTTCCAGCAGATGGTCAGCTCCTCCACCGAGGTGGAACTCATGCAGGCCGCGGCACGCCAGTTTGCCCTCATCAACCGAGTGCGCTCCCTCCCCTCGCATGCCCCCGGCCCGCCTCCGGCAAATGCCCGCTAACTTTCCGCCCTGCCTCCTGCCCTCGACCCTCCCCCCCCCCCCGCCCCTGCCATCGACAGATTATGTCCGACGAAAGCCAGGATGCCGGGCCCGCCGCGACCCTGAAGCCGCCCGCCTCGCCGCGGCTCCTCGGATCCGTGTCACCGCGCGTAGGTGGTCTCTCGCCACGCGTGGCCGCTCGGCCAGTGCGCCGGCTCACCTCGCCAGCCAGTGGAGATGTCCACCCCCCCGGACGCCATTCCACCTTCTCGCCGATTGCTGCCTCCCCCCGGGCCGGGGCTCCCCGGGTGTCAAGCCTCACCAGCCACCGGACAACATCCCTTGATGCCCAGAGCCCGGGCCCACTCCTCCGGACTCCGGGGCCGGCGGCCACTCCTGCCGCCGCGGCCACGCCCGCTGTGGCAGCCACTCCGGGCACCGCGGCCACACCGACGGGGCTCCTGCTGCTCACTGGCGCCGAGGCGGCCAGTTCCTTCCGGTCGCCGCGCCTGCACGACCCTCTGGCCCAGCACTGCCCCACCACCAGCAGCACCATGAGCCCGATGTCTCGCCTTGCCATGTCCAACAGTGCCAAGAAGGCCACCCTGCGCCAGCTTTCCAATCAGCCATCGCACCAGCCCGCGGAGGAGTCTCCCCGGCCGACCGGAGGCCTGGGCGTCCTGTTCCCCGGCTCTCCGACCACCCCCCAGACTGAGGCCCCGCTGCTGGCTGATGCCCCGTCTTCCGGGCAGCGGCACGTGCTGGCCGATAGCCCTGTCGCACAGGCGGCACTGCGTGCCGCCCAGTTGGCCTGTCGCGCTGTCGGCAATCCACCCACCTAGTGTCCCGCCGAGCGCGCGGGAATCGGGGCATCCACAATCTACACCCACTCTATGATATATGTAATTATTATTGGTTTTTTTTTGTTCTTCCAAAAACACGCCCATACACATGGGGATTTTATGTGGCATCTAGAAAGCCACCAAGGTCGGAGCCGGGGCGATGTTATGGAGCATGCCTGGGAGGGGCGCAAGCGGAGAGACCCTCATCTATGGGCCGGTCATTGGCAGGCCTCCTTCAGTGCCAGCAGGGCCTGCTCCAAGCGCAGGAGAGTCTCCTTTTCTTGGTAGAGAATGCGCAACGGACTGTTGGCGACCCCCGAGCCCGGGGTGGCCGTCAACAGCGCCGGCCAGGCAGCACCAAGACCAGCCCGAGCCTCATCCAGGAGCTTGCCCTGGAAGGCATGTCGGTCATCGGCCTCGGCCAGGTCAATATCCGCGGCCACTCGAGCCATGCGGCTGAGCTGCAGCCGCACGCGGATCAGGGTGGCCTGCACCGCGCGCTCATACGACCCAAGCACAAAGGTATCCGGCTGGTCCGGAGCAAAGCCCTCCAGGACGGTGGCCGGCCGAAGCCCATGCTCCAGGATCCGTCGACTGGCCTCCTCCAAATCCGGTCGACCGAGGGCCAAGATGCTCGAGAGGACCAAAACCTCCCGCAGGCCATTCCCCTGGATGGAGCCACTCTCCGGGCGGAACTCCACCACCGAGAAGTGCGGCCTGGCCAGACGCCGTCAATTTGCCGGCATTGATTGGGCGTGCGGAAAAAGGGGGGATAGGGAAGGGGCGGAGGGTCAAAGGGCGGGTGTCAGCATTTTCGGCTCCATCTTTCGACGGCAGGCATGGCCCCGGGGCACCGGGCATGGCAGAGCAAGGGAGACATCAAATGCGCACAGGCTGAAGCCCAGACTCGACAAGACGCTGGATCGCGTGCGGAGGGTTTCCGGCGGCTCGTTGCGGTTCAGATCAAAGCGAAGAAGAGCCGTCGGCTGCGGGACAAATTGCCCGCCAACCGGCGCCGGCACCGTGAACCCCTGGTACAGCCAGAAATCCCGGTTCGATCGGTCCCCATAGAACATGTGCACGGGGGCTCCATGCCCGGCCGCCGGGTAGAGCGCATGGAACACAAACATCGGCGCTGGGTCTTGCTCGGTCTGCTGGACGAAGGACGAAATTTCCGGCCGGTCAGTGCCCTCCGGCCCGCACCCGCGCGAAGCGTGGTTGATCAAATCCCACAGGGGAACCAGGCAGGGGAGTGCCTCGGGACCACGGCCATTCCCCGCATGGGAGCCGGTCGCCCCGACCGGCAGCAGATTCTGCCGAGACAGGACCTGCGCCCAGGCCCAGCGGAAAAGCGCCCAGCCCGGGGAGGCCGCCTTGCCGGCACCGCTGGCCAGTCGGAGGAAGCACTGGTAGGCGCGAAAGGCCCCGGCCAGGCGGGCAAACAGCAAGCCGCCCGTCGGGGAGCCGGCATCAAAGAGAGCCTGCGCATCGGCTGCCCCGGCGAAGAGGAAGCAGCAGGCCGCCTCGGGCCCGGGCAGAGCGCGGATATACGGCAGGAAGGGGCTGCCCTGGAGGTTGTCCAGCACCGTCAAGCAAAGCCCGACCGCCAAGCGGAAGGAGTGATCATTGGTCAGACGGAGATGGTCGCGGAAGAGCTGCACCGCAGCCGGGTTGTTCAAATTCGTCGGGACCGTGGCGTGGGCTTCCTCCGCCACGCCGGCCAGCCGGGTGCCGGCCAGCAGCCCGTCGGCCGTCAGGATGGCCGACAGTGGGATGCTCAAGAGGGGGTCCCCGGGAGAGACGGAAATGTGGGCACCATCGGCCTTCCGGCTGCCGAGAGCCAAGCCAGCCCCCTCGGCCAGACCATGGACCACATGCACCCGAGACAGATCCACACCAAAGTCCCGCTCCAGCCAGTCTTCCAGGTCGTGGTAGCGTTGGCCGGCGGTGGCCGCGTCCCAGGACAGATGGCCGAATTGGGCCATGACGCCGCCCTGCGCCGCAATCAGCTCATCAAGAAGTCCCTGAAGACGGGCAAAGTCCGCATGCGTGGGGATGGCCACTGTAGATGCAGCAACGGGAGGCCTGTTAGTCGGCGAACGTCCCCGGAACGGGCAGATGGATGGATGGATACCCTCCCCCCTCCACCAAGACAGGCATACCCTCGAGGATCGGCATGATCTGGGATTCAATGGCCTGCACCCGTTGGGCCGGGGAAGCCTTCGGTGGTGCCGACATGGCTCAGTTGGCAGGTACGAGGATGAGGGGCGAGGAGGGATCCGGAAAGGAGGAGGGAGGGAGAGGCCGTGCGGGAAGGGAGCGATGAGGGCGGGAGGCAGGCGAAGCAGGCTCGACAGAAAGTCGAGGAGGTGGAGTCGGGGAGGGGGATATGCCCAAAGGCTCCCCTCCCCCCGGAGGCCAGGGAGGGCGACAAAGGCGGCACATTAGTGCCCGGGGGGGGGGCATTCCTGGGTGCTGGAATTTGCACGCAGAGCGTTGGCATGTTGCCAGATCCCAGCGAAGAGGACGTGATCGCGCCTCACGCGGCAGGCACAATGCCATTTACATACGAACAAGCTGGTTCGTCCGGCAGTCGGCGAGTGTCACACCCTTGTACTCGGGGCCTTGTCCATGTTCGCGGCTTGTGTGCCTGGCCAACCGCGGTGGGCCCGGGCTGCGCCTTCGAACCGGGAAGGGCCTTTCTCAGGGACTCGGACCCCGGGCAGGGCAATAACAACAACAACAACAACAACAGCAACACGGGGGCCGAGCCGTTTTGGGGCTCGGCGCCTGTGAGTGCGTGCGGTCTGGCTTCGAAGGAGCGTAATGCGCACGCCGTGCGGGTCGCCCGCGTCACGGTGGGGAGTCTGTGTGGTGCGGGGACGCAGGAGGGGCGATGACACCTCAGCGTGTGGAGTTTCAGCGGGGCCTACTCTCCCCCGGGGCCGCCGCCCCATCCGGCCGCCGGTCGAACCGGTGGGACCGTGCTTTTCGCCCGGATGCTGGGGGGGGGGGGGGGGATGGTCCCCCGGGCCTCTGCCCTTTTCGCCGGTAGACGGCCGGCCCCCGCGGCGAGGGCCGCGCCAGCCGCTGCCCAATGGCTGGTCGCGTGCTCTGGGAAACGCGCGCGCACTTCCAGGTTGGGTCGCATCGTCCCCCAAGCGCAGGGGAGGGCCGCCATCAGGAAGGGGCCTGAGGGCGGGAAGATTAGCCACAGGGAAATAACCCTACCCACGCATCCTCCACTGGATGGGGCGAGGGGGAGGG